AGAAGGGAGGAGAAGGAGAAGGAGAAGGAGAAGGAGAAAGAGAAAGAGAAAGAGAAGGAGAAGAAGAAGAAGAAGAAGAAGAAGAAGAAGAAGAAGAAGAAGAAGAAGAAGAAGAAGAAGAAGAAGAAGAAGAAGAAGAAGAAGAAGAAGAAGAAGAAGAAGAAGAAGAAGAAGAAGAAGAAGAAGAAGAAGAAGAAGAAGAAGAAGAAGAAGAAGAAGAAGAAGAAGAAGAAGAAGAAGAAGAANACAAAAAAGTCTGGATAGTGGACGTGGACATGCCTGGAGACAGCAGAATAGATGAGAAAGAACTGGCTATTCTATGGACCAGGTCTCTCCACACCTTCCACTGCTTCTCTTAGTTATTCTATGTTCTGGCTGGCATCAGCTTGGATGGTGTCCACAATTACACACCGTTTCCAAGAAAACTGCATAAATGTGTCCATGATATCCCAGAATTCTTTCCCCTCTCTAACTTTAGCCACAAAACCTCTTGATCTCCCTGCTGTGTGGTTACTTGGCCAAAATAAGTATTGTTCCTCTCCTACCTCGATCTTCTCCAGGTTGGTGGTCACCAATGTACCCATCTGCCTTCCGGCTCTTCTTCACCGCAGGCCTCCCGTGAACCTCTGCAAACCAATCTTGCAGTTTGTCTCAGGGTGTTAAGCAATCCCGAAGGGAACTTCAGGGAACCATCCTTATCATCCTTATTGATCACTGGCTCAATGGTCAAGGCCATCATGAAATCTTCGTGCCCTGTAAAAGTTAATGGAAGTTAACTATTAAAGCTGTATATACTGTGTTTTCCGCAGCTATATAAAGGGAGGCGTTTAAATGGACAGAGACATATCTTGAACAGCCTCTGACTTTCTCCATTGGGGACAAAAATCCTAGCTAGATGCATCTTCTCTTCCACAGGGCTCGCTGAAGACGCTTCTAGGGTAAGAAAGAGATCTGTTTATACATATCATTATAAGTTCTTTATAGTTATCCAGTTATGCAGCATATATATATATATAAAGGAACTAGTCCTACAACAATACAATTGTTATTATCTATCTTTAGAATTCCCTTTCTATCAGAAACTCAAGGAAGTCTACACAATCTTCTCCCATCTCCTTTTTTTTTTTTTACTGGATAACCATAACCTTAGGAGTTTTATTCTTCATATTTTTAAAAAATATTTTTCGTAAGTATTTTGGAGTATCGGTGGGGCCGACATTGTTGATTGCTGTAGATACGGTCTGCGTGACGGCCAGCCATTTTAAAGAATCAAGGGAAATGGATATCCTGAATCTTGACATTTAACGCGGGGCACCATCTAGGAGGACTTCTGCTCTGTGGACCCAATGGATTTGGAAGTTCTGATGGACATTGTCAACGGGTCTTTCAACCTGGGTCTGTGTTATGCTGAAGCTGAGCTGGAACAAATTACTGAAGACCCGTGGTCTAACTGCGTTGGTTCCTTGAGAATGGTAGACTCATACGGCTGGAAGGATCCTTGAAGGTCTTCAAGTCGAATCTCCTGCCCAAGGCAGAAGTCCTTATACCGTCCCAGACAAATGGTTGTCCAATCTTTTCTTGAAAACCTCCAGTGATTGAGCACCCATAGCTCCAGGAGTCAAACTATTCGATTGTTCTCGCTGTCAGGAAATTTATCCTTAGGTTCCAGTTTGGATTTCTTTTCAAAACATGCTTTCACCCATTTCTTTTTGTGCTGTCCTCTGGTACTTTGGAGAATATGTTGACCCCCTCTTCTCTGTGACCGGCCCTCAAATATTGGAAGACAGTGATCATGTCGTCCCTAAACCTCCAATAGACTAGACTAGACTAGACTAGACTAGACTAGACTAGACTAGACTAGACTAGACTAGAATAGAATAGAATAGAATAGAATAGAATAGAATAGAATAGAATAGAATAGAATAGATATTGGAATATAGAATAGAATAGAATAGAATAGAATAGAATAGAATAGAATAGATATTGGAATATAGAATAGAATAGAATAGAATAGAATAGAATAGAATAGAATAGAATAGAATAGAATAGAATAGAATAGAATAGAATAGAATAGATATTGGAATATAGAATAGAATAGAATAGAATAGAATAGAATAGAATAGAATAGAATAGAATAGAATAGAACAACTGACAGAAGCTGTGCTTGACAGGATGGTATGGAGAGCAGTTGCCTATAAAGTCTCCAAGAATCGGACACGACTGAACGGTTAAAACAACAAGTGGCGATCGTTGTTATTACAGTTCATTGCCCAGTCAGCCAGATGTTCAGGCTGGATTTGGCATTTTTATCCACCTATCCAGTCCTTCCCAAGGACCTGGAATAAGCAGATGTGGATGTTTGATGGCGGTTAAAGGTATCGCAGGATGGAAGCTGTTCGAAGTAAAGCTGCCTTTTGCAATTGACCGACGGTGGTTTTGTCAATGCCGGAGG